CTGATATAGTCCCACCATCATCAACCACAAACCAATGTCGAACTCCCTATTTTGGCGCTCGACGCCCAGACTACAAGTGGCAGATCCTATTTAGCCTACAACTACAATGCCAATGATGTTGTCAACAGCTTTCCCGAAGTTTGATCAGATCTCGGACCATGCCGTCGCGTCAAGCACCACGTACGTCTGTAGCATCACTCACAACCTCGATCCCAACACACAGTATGCCACGTGTACCCGAGAACCACCGTAGATTCACAATCAGACTTTGTTTACTGTGTTCTCTGGATATGTTTGTGATCACACGATCTTGCAAGTATGCCCTGTGTTTTGTTGTTGAGTTTGGACGCTGTGTGTGCAAGTGCAAGCGCGTGCGGGTGAGTCTCAGTTTGGTGGGGTCGGATGATATCATTGACGATTGGCCCGGGAAGTTGATGAAAAGCGCCTCCGATTATAGGAGTGCTACTGACGTTAAGCAAGTTTAGCATTGTATGAATGAAACAATCAGCATTCAATCTGCTCTGGCGGTTGCTCTTCGGGTGGGGACTTGTTCGGGAGTAGGATTGACACGAGGGCCATAATGCCGGACGCAAAGCTCAGAACATTTCTAGGAAGGCAAAAGGCAAAGAACAAACGAAGCAACATCTGTCAGAGTCATATAATGGACAGCTTGGCTTAGTCCCCCCCTTTTTTTTTTTTTTTTCTCTCTCTCTCTCCCTCTCAGCGCTGCTATGGACGGTTGGCATTCTCCTCTGATGTAGAGCGCTGCCTCCAAGTCAATGCGCAGGCAGTGATTGAAGGTCAGCACAAGCCATACACAACTCGAGCAGTGAATGAATTGATGCACAAGCCATATAGAGCAGAGGCACTGCCATGACCAGTACGCATGAACTATCAGCCAGTGTTACAGGCCTATTTCTACCAGATAGGCATGACGCAGGAACCAAGGATCATCATAAGAGAAACAACAATGATAATGCAGCGGAAGACTGAAGTACACAGACCTGACTCAACGGGGAAGAAGAAGAGACAGATACGGCAGACCGAATCGGGGAAGAAGAAGAAGCAGAACTCTCTCTCTTTCTCTCTCTCTCTCTCTCTTTCTCTTCCCTCCTCTTCTTTCTCATCTTTCTTCTTCGAATCTGAGAGTGTGAGAGGTTATCAGTAGGGATTCAGGCAGATTTCGTGTTGGGCGCATCGCCCAGGATCTGATTCGACATTTMTGGGACAGGCATTGATTGCACACTCGGCAAGGGACTATTCGCTATTGCGATTTTGGTCTACTCCCTTGCCTCCCTCCTCTCTGTCTCGTCCCTCCCCCATCTCTCATCCGTGGTATCTCCCCTTGTATGTGCGCGAGGAAGGGAMYTTTCTTCCATGGTTGTGGTCCCTCCTCCCTCTCTCCCCTGTGTGATGTGCGATGGATGTCGGGTCAGTCCAGACCAGATCAGATCTTCTCTCTAAGTCTTCCACTGCACCGTTTTGTGCCATCTTGTATGTATTCGGAATGTACATTGCTTGTTGATGCTACGCTGTCCTCGCATTGTCCATTTCAGTCGTTTTCATCACATAGTGAATCCTCGGCTCCCTGCGTATCGTCCTACGGGACATGCGTCACTCACACACTCATACATACACAAATGTGGTAGTGTATATCCTCATCTTGTAGGGATATATTCATTCTATATTATTTATTTATTTATTTATTTATTTATTCATTTATTTATTTTGCTAATCTTATCGAGGGAAGCACCGGGATCGGTCGCGAGGAAGGAGACCTACCCATTCTTTTGTCTCGCTTCCTCGTCGTCGTCATTGTTGTCGTCGGAGCCGCCGTCATCGTCCGTCTGGTCAGGTAAGCTTTCCCTTTTCCTCCTCCTACTTCTTCTCTCCTCCTCCTTCTCCTTCTTCTTCTCTCCTCCTCCTCCTCCTCCTTCTTCTTCTTCTTCTTTCCCATGCGCGGTCTTCCTCCTACCTCCGCGCTCTTTTTTTTTTTCTTCTACCCGTGCGCTATCTTCCTGCGCGCCCGCTCCTCTGCGCAGTCTTCCTTCTTGGTTCCGTTCAGAGTCCCCCTCCGCCTATTCTTCGAGGTAGCGAGCTTCCTCCTTGCGCGTTTCTCTTTTTTTTCCCCTGCGCTGCCTCGTCCTCTGTCCACGTGCGCACTCTCGCATGCAATCCTTGTTGCTCTGCTTTCTCTCTCCCCTTACTTCGCGCGGCCATCTCCATCCCTTCGCTTTGCCTGCGCAAACCTCCCCGCCTGTGCTACTGCCCTTTTGCCTCTTACTGCGCGTTCCTCTCTTGTTTTGCGCACCTCCTCCCTACGCTTTCTCTCCTTCCTCCATATCGCAATCGCCCCCCTGCTCTCTTGCTACATCTCACYATTCTCCAGATCATGCGGGCTAGTGTCGAGCGGGCCAAGTTTTAGGCCCCGTATCACCAACTTCTATGGGAATGAACCTTCTCACGGTTTTTACCGCGGATTCATCGAAGCGGATGCATCTCGTGAGGTACTAGAAATGGAGAAAAGACAACCCAAACAAAAATAAATAAATAAATAAATGAAAGTAAATAAAAATAAGAATTTAACTATAACTAAAAAAATAAAAGAAAAACACAGAATCTAACTACTAACATTCTTAGCCTGCCAAGTGGCGGGCCACGTTACAGCAGAGGTTCAGATCCAACTAACCTACTAACAACAACTACTTCCTAATCCGTAGGTCGCGGGTTCGCGTCCCAGGCTTCTCAATGCAGGGTAAAGAGTGACTAAGCTCCTTGCCAAAAGGAGCTAGCTCAGGGGTCGGGCAAATTCGATCCTTGAGTCTGTCGCATGATAGCTTGCACTTGAACCTACGGAGCTAGCTCCCACTTCGGGTAGAAGGGGAGCAGCTTTACTATGTATATAGTAACGGGGCTCAGTCCAACCAGCGGCCTGAGCCCGTTTTAGCCTGTGCGTGCGTGCACGCTTGTTGGTCCGCGCGTCTGCCTGTGTGCTCGCCGGCTTGAGTGTGTGCGCGCCCCCAAGGACACTTGGTGGACCGTTAGGCCTGAAGGCCGGTACTTAGTTGTGGCCGCGTCCTTTCGAGGGTTGCGGCGGGGAAACTTTCTAGCGGCGAGCAGGTCGGTGCCTAGCTATGGCCGCTACATTCAAAGGTTGCGGCTTAAAACACCCAAGCGGCGAGAAAAAGGTCCGCTACACCTTAAGTGCGACGGACAACATTCAAGTAGCGGTTGGGTCGGTATCTCACCATATCGAGGTAGACACGGCGGTACTTGACTCGGAGGCCGAGTAGGGGAAGACAAAGATCGAAATTTTTAGAACACCTGGTACCGGAAGATAGACAGGCACTAGACCAAGTCTCAGTGCGTGTCGTAGACCTACCGGACACTTCATTAACTCAACTAACCCCTTAACCTCTTCTGTCGAGGGGTCTTACTACTGATCCTAACCGTCACAGCGCGCGTCATAATAACGCGTGCTCATACTCTCGAAATTTTCTCGCCGATTCGCCCCGGCCTTATTGGCCGAGGAATTCATTTCCAGTGTCACGCCAAATAGTGCACACCCTTTCCATTCCTGACTGGCTCCATCATGGTAGCCGACGTCGTCATCGTGTCGAATGCAAAAGCATGGCCAAATACCCTTGTAAGGGTATTTGGTCCGACAACGTAGTCCGGTGGAGAAGGAAGACAGCGGCGATAGCTGCGGAGCATCAACATAGGGCACCGAAGGAGAGAGAGAGGGAGGACAGAGAAGGAGAGAGTGAGGAGAGAGAGAGAAGTGTGGAAGGAGTATATCAAAGAAGAAGACAAACATAGCCAAGGGTGACAAAAAAAAAAAAAAAAAAAAAAAAGATAGAAGAAGAAAGACAGTGAGGAAGAAGAAGGTGAAGGAAGGGGAAGGAAGTGACGAGGGTGACGAAGGTGAACGTGCCGGCAGCCATAGCCGAGGTGAAGGGTTGACCGGGCGTTGACCAGAGGGTTGACCAGAGGGTTAACTTGGGGTTGACCAGAGGGTCGACCAGGCGTTGACCAAGGGGGTTGACCGAGTGTTGACCGAGGGTTGTCCGCGCTGACTCAGCGTTGACCAAGGCGTTGACCGGAGCTGCTGACCAAGATCCTGTCTAAGCTGGAGTTGGTAATACCTTGCTGAGCCCTCAGCCTATCCCCTTACCCTGTGGATGTGCACTCACCCTACGGTACTTGCTGAGTCTGAGTCTGTTTGTCTCTTCTTTCTGCATTGAGTCTCTTATGTCCTAGGTGTTAGTACTCTGTGGATGAAGGATAGGGTTGGATGACGAAACCCTTGTCTGACCTTGGAGAGCTAAGGTTGTGGCTGATCCAACTTTCCAGGGGGGCCTAACCCTCCCAAGGACCGGTGCTGACCGGCTGGAAACGGTTGGTAGGGCACAGTGGGCTTGAACGGCAACTGGGACTGATACACCAGTCAATCTTTAAGTGTTGAGGGCCTGTTTGAACCACCCCGCTACCGGACCTAGTAAGGATGATGATCTGTGTCTGACGACTCGAATGTCTCGGGGGACACGAACCCCTCCAAGGACCGGTACAAACCGGCGGGCTGCTCGGTGTGGCACAGTAGGCCGGAAAGGCTGAGTTGTGGGTTTAAAGCACAGGCAGAACCACGCTGATCACGTCGTCATGACTGCGACGTTAAAGAATTCTTGCGGAGTTTGGGGGATCTCCTTAAATGCCTCCAGATCAGCTGATGGTTCAGTAGTGACAGCCTTAAGAGTAGTTTTGAGTAGTGACCTTAGAGAGTCAGTCGGTGGGTCAATGTCTGGGTAGGTCTAAGTGGTGAGGAGTGGGACTCTTGTCGTGCACCTGACACCACGATGGATGACTATCCGATATATGGGTTGCTTGTTGGGTTCTCCCTCTGGGGGACCCTCTGGCATCTCCTCTTTCCTCTGGGGTTCTGGCACACCTTTACGTGTAGAGTAGATACCCCGGGTGGTGCCTCCACTAAGCCGTACACGAAGGAGGAGGAGGAGCAGATGGTCGCCGTCCTGAGGGAAAGAAAGGAGAAGAAAGAGGTCAAGAAGAAGGCCCTACAGGAGGAGCAGGTGGCCAAGTTGAAGAAGATGGAGGAAGAGATGGCCAGAGAGAAAGAGAGAATAAAGAAAGAAGAAGAGGAGAAGCGGAAAGAGGTGGAGGAGGAAGAGGAGGAAGATGAAACGCCACTGCAAAGGAAGAGGGGGCAGTACAGTGGCAGCAGAGATGATGAGATGGAAAAACGGATTTCAGAATGGGTCGCCAACTTATCCCTGGGTGAAGAAGAAGAGGTGGCAATGTATATCCCCAAGGATGATCAAGAGGCCGCTATGAGAGCTTGGGACGCAGAAGAAGATGTCATAAAGCCGCAGGCGATGGAAGATGAGAAGAGGATGGAATGGAAGCTGGCAATGATGAGGGAGAAGAAGAGGAGAGTGGACGTGGCAGCAGATGCGGCGGAAGAATTGGAGGAGGTAAAAAAGATAGAAGAGCAATTAGTCGCCCAGGCTGAACTCCCAAAGAAAATGGAGGTCAAAGCCCGAAACGTCGCACGCTTAGCGCGAATTCAGGCAGAGCAGTATGACTTCAGTAGGAGTCAGCATATAGCTGTGCGTTCGATACGATTGGGATTTCGGGACTTTGCTCGTGAGTTGGTGGGAGTTGTAGGAGCCGAGGTGGGCCACCGCCTCGACAAGACCGAGCGGTTTTGTGCTAGCGCCATTGATGGCGTCAAGGCGGCAGCTCCCAAGGAGGAGGAAGCACGTTCTCGCCGGGAGCCGGTCAAAGTCAAATTCCCTGATTCCTACAGAGGAAAACGGGAAGAAAACTTTGACAATTGGAAGGCCAATGTCAAGACCTATGCGCATTTGCAACAGGTCTCCCCGGATCAGCATGTTCTAATTGCGATCCACACGCTTAGAGATGAGGCCGCCAGCTTCGCAAGGTTCCTAGTTCGTGCTGCCAACTGCAATGATGATGCAGTTGCATACTCGTCATTCACCCCCCTCGTTGATTTTCTGAAATTGCTGCGCGGGCGGTTTGCAGACGTCGCTCGGAGTGTCAAAGCCTCAGATAAGCTCCAGACAATCCACGCTCGTAAGTGGAAGAGCGCCAGGGCACTTAAGAGTACCATGGACGAGTTAGTGGCGGTACCTGACCACGGGGTCACAGACACCCAGTTGGTCGCCCTCTTCTATCGGGCGATGCCCGAAGCCTTCCGTGGGCATTTCTTCGCCAAGAGCGAAGATCCTGCCACCACGTACGATTCYCTTAGCCGTGAAGTGGTGGCCTTKGAAGCAAAGTCGGTGTCAGTTTCTACATTCTGGCACAAGGACTTAGATAAGGGAAAGCAATGGAAGGGCCGCACTATCTCRGGGCAAGTGAAGACTAAGKATAGTCTTGTCCTAACTTTAGATGAGGGTAGTGTGGATGAGATCCCCTACGACCAGATTGAGTGGGGGTTAGAGGAGGAGGACAGCGGTGTGGGTCAGGGGAGAACTTACGCTGTTGTCGCGGCTGGAGGGAGGCCGCAAGGAGGAGGACGAGGCCAGGGCCAAGGGGGTCGGGCCTCAGGGGGCCGGTTTCAGGGCGATCGGGGGGTTGGCGGCAAAGGAGGAAACCACCAAGCGAGAGAAAGGGGTCAAGGTCCCCCGCAAAACCGTCCTAGGAACAGGTCTCCCTATAGGGTAGGCGGATGGCACCCAGGGCTACCCCAGGGTAGGCCTTGGGAAACTTTGGGTCTGGACCAGAGTTTATGGCAACAGCGATTGGACCGGGGTCAGTGCATTTTCTGCGTTGACCCGGGCTATATCATCAAATACTGTCCTAAGTATCGGGAGACCCGAATGGCTGCTCAAGGGCCAAAAGGCAGCCGCCGGTAGGGGTAGCAACTGCCCCTACCATCAGGCCATGTGGGGAAAATAGCGCTAGCCGGCAGGAGACTCCCACACCACATGTACCTATGGTAGAGGTTGCAGGCCGGTGTCTAGATAGCTGCCCAGAGACTGCTTGTGTTAGGGTCTCTCTAGACACCTCCCTCACAGGCGTGGACGAAGAATTGAAGGAGAGGATGCCCGCCTAGGCCAAGATGAAAAAGGAGAATAAAGGGCAACTTATATTGGTAGATACAGAGATTTTTAGAGGTAGAGTTGGCGCCTTAGTGGATAGTGGAGCCACTCGTAGTTATATTAGTATGAAGGCGCTACAAAAGCTGAAGTTGCAGTTAAAAGTCCAAAAGTTAGCAGACCCTGTAGTCAGTATCCTTGCGGATAATCGCACGATGCGAGTAGAAGACTACGTAGAGGGAGTCCATACGTATTTCCGCCTAGAGAAGGAGGGGAAAGTAGAGAAAGTCCTCCATTCCCTGACTTTCCTCGTAGAGGATAGCCTCCTGTTCGATATAGTCCTGGGTATGGACCGGGGAGAGGCAGTCGCGGCCACACTCCACTTGAGGGAGCATGAGTGTAGGCTCCCTAGCCCGTAAGGTGATGTCAAGACTGCGTGTCTGTACCATGTGTCAGGAGTAGATGACTCCTTGGCACATTGCTGCCTTAGTGCTCCTGCATTTGCACGATTAGTGGAAAGTGAGCAGCTAGAAGAACAGGTCTTTGTAGCCTATGTTAGGCCAGTCACTGAGCCTAAGGAAGAAAAGCCTATAGACCTTGCTATTGCCAAGTTGCTGGAAGAGTTTAAGGACCTAGTTGAGCCGCCAACAGGGACAATGTCGCGGCCCATCCAGCACCGTATTGAGATAGAGTCTAACAGTAGAACTCCTGAGGGCGTTGTGTATAGGATGTCCCCGCGGGAGTTAGAGAAGCTTCGCAAGCAATTGGACGAGCTCCTTGAAAAGGGTTAGATTAGGCCCAGTTCATCTCCTCTTGGAGCACCTGTTCTCTTTGTCCCCAAGAAGGAGGGAGAGCTAAGGATGTGTATAGACTATAGGGATCTGAATGCTATTACAGTGAAGAATGCTGAGCCACTGCCTAGGATAGATGATCTCCTAGATAGAGTGCAGGGGTGCAAGTATTTCTCTAAGATAGATTTGAAGTCCGGATATCATCAGATAGAGGTTCACCCTGATGATCAGTACAAGACCGCGTTCCGGACTAGATACAGGCACTATGAGTTTATTGTGATGCCCTTTGGACTAACCAATGCGCCAGCAACCTTTCAGCGGTGTATGAATGACTTGTTTAGGCCATGGTTAGACATATTTGTTGTAGTTTACCTAGATGACATTCTAGTGTTTAGTAAGACCCTCGAAAAGCATCAGGGTCATCTCAGGCAGGTCTTGGAGAAGCTAAGAGAAGCTAACTTCAAGATCAATGCAAAGAAGTGCGATTGGGCAAAGACCCAAGTTTTGTATTTAGGCCATGTCTTAGACGGAGACGGCATCAAGCCCAAAGACAGCAAGATTGCAGCGATTAGAGATTGGCCGACACCGCGTACGTTGACAGAGTTGCGGTCGTTCTTAGGCCTAGCAAACTATTATAGGAAGTTGCCCTTTGTCGTCACTACGGACGCTAGTCAGTACGGCATAGGTGTTGTGTTGCAGCAAGACGATGGCAATGGGTATAGACCCGTAGAATTCATGTCCGCCAGAATGCCTTCAGAAAAGGTCGCGACATCTACCTATGAGAGGGAACTCTACGCTCTCAGGCAAGCCTTAGAACATTGGAAACACTACTTGCTTGGGAGGCATTTCAAAGTCTATTCCGACCGTGAGATATTGAGATGGTTAAAGACGCAGGCCAAGATGAGACCTAAGCTTACTAGGTGGGCCGCAGAGATAGATCAGTATGACTTTGAGCTCAAGCCAGTCAAGGGAAAGTATAACGTAGTTGCGGATGCTCTGAGTATGAGAGTTGATTACTTTGGGGCAATAGTGCATTACCTAGACATAGGGAGGGACCTGCACCAGAAGATTAGAGAAGCCTATGCGCAGGATCCTATCTATAATGACCTCCTCAAGAGGGTCAAGGAGGCCCCAGAGACTGAGCCGAACTACCGCACTACTGAAAGGTTGCTCTTTGAGAAGACTAATGTATTTGACCGCCTGTGCATCCCCAATAGTGAAGAGGTCCATAGTCTGATCTTGGGAGAATGCCATGACACAGAGGGTCATTTTGGTTGGCAAAAGACTTTAGCCAATCTGATGCGCGCATACACGTGGTCAGGGATGAAGAATGACTGCGTAGAGTATGTCCGCAGTTGTAAAGTTTGCCAACGTAATAAGACCAGGACGCGCGCCCTGCTAGGTCTTCTCAGACCCTTGCCCATTCCAGACCAGCCGGGAGACTCAGTGTCCATCGACTTTATGGACACCCAAGTCAAGAGTAGGCATGGTAAGTGCCAAGTCATGGTCACAGTTGACCGTTTTAGCAAATATGCAGTTTTTGTTCCCTTGCCGTCAGAGGCACGTACAGATTTAGTGATACATAAGTTTTTCGACTGCTGGGTTAGTGAGAATGGAATCCCATTGTCAATAGTTAGCGATAGAGATAGTCGCTTCACCAGCCAGAACTGGCAAGAACTAATGGGAGTGTATGGATCTAAGTTGTTGATGTCGTCTGGCCGCCATCCTGAGACTTGCGCATGTACATTAGGCCAGATCAGATTAACTGGGATGAGATGTTGCCTAAAGTAGCTAACGCGTATAATAACAGCGTGCATCTGTCCACCTACCGCACTCCCAACGAACTGCATAAGTCCTTTAGACCGCGCAGACCGTTTGAGGGACTCAACCGGGATCAGATTCACAGATTACCGCCCGGGACCAGGGAGTTTGTTGTACAACACGAGAAGGAATTAGCTATTGTTGTAGAGAACCTCAGGAAGGCCCAACACAGGCTGATAGAGCAAACCAACAAACATCGTCGCCCCTCACAGTTCCAAGTAGGCGACTTAGTTTGGGTCAGTTCTAAAGAGTTTGCACCTGAGGAGAACATCTCGCAAAAGTTACTGCCCACCTATAGAGGTCCGTGGCCAGTCTTAGAAGTCAAGGGTGGCGAAGATGGTCCATCCTACACCATTGAACTGCCCCTACACCTCCACACCTACCCAGTTTTCCATGCGTCAAAGTTGTTGCCGTGCACAGTAAGTGATCAATTTCCATCTAAGCGATCTATGATCCCACCTGACATGGACGGAAGATACGACATTGACGGCATTGTAGGTGCAGATGTGTTCAGAACATGAGGTAGAGGTCGTCCTCAGACACAGTACAAGGTCAGATTTTCATATCAAGAACCAGAAGACAACCGGTGGTTCACTAGGACTGAACTTCTAGAGGCGGCTCCCAACATAGTCCGCGCCTACGAAAGAGATAGGAAAGGTAAAGGTCCTGCCTTGGACTAAAATTTTCTCGGAGGACCTCGAATTTAGGCCGGCGGGAGTGAAACAGTATTCACCGGTTTGAAGTAGCTGATGCAGATCCCAGGGCTAGATCCCTAGATCCCCACCTTACCTATGTACAGTATCTGTGTCAACCCGTAGAATTGAACCTGCGACCTGTAAGACCGCCAGTGGTAGGTAGGATTTCGTAGGTCACAGGGTAGAAGGGATTCGAACTGTAGACCTGTCGGGTAGGAGTCTAGACAGTCCAGAGGTCGTAGCTGTAGACTATCTGAAGGGTCAAGGTCGTAGCTGCTACTTACCTGAAAGGGCAAAGTCGTAGCTGCTACAGTACCGAAAGGCCAAGACAGAGGTTTCTAGAAGTGGCCTTTCGGAGTCAGCCTACGTTAGACAGAGGCAAGTGGTCAAGTGGTGGCAGTCCACCTCGTACAGTCAGTAGTCCCTGTCCACCCAGTCCGGTCCAGTCAAGCAAGTACAGTCTGGGACTGTGTGCACTGTGGGCCAGGGGACACAGGACAGACCAGCGAGGCACAGAAGTATAAATCAAGAGGTTGCGTCCATCCATTCATTCATTCCTGCGGAAGCCATGCGGAAGCGCTGCCTCAGCGTCTTGTGCAAGGAGGTCTGCTGGAGGCCCGAAGACGAAGTGGGCGAGAGGGAAGCAGTGTAGCCATAGCGATAGATAGCGGCAGCCATAGCTGCCATAGCTTAGCTTAGAGTGTAGCGTGTGTGTACTGTGTGAGTGTTCAGCGTGATGCGTGTGGGACATCCAGGGTGATCCAGAGTGTGAACAGTGAGTCGTTTGAGGCGCACAGTCGCCATAGCCAGTGGAACTGAACTGTTACCTGGAAGCCATATCTTTGAGTTCTGTGCGGGCGCATGTCACCAGTTTGTTGTTCTGATGTTCACGTGCATGAAAAGTGTGAATAAGTCGAGTCTGATTGCCGCTATTTCACTTATACCTGTCGGAAATCGGATTTGGCTTCCCTCACATAAAAAACAAAGTTTCTAGCCAAGAAAACCGACTGTGATAAAAAACCTATGAAACCCCAATATAGCGCTACTCGAAACCAACAAGCAACCCAAGAATGCAATCATCCAGCACTTTCCCCCTGAGGTCTCATCGAAATTCCTTACCAAATTTGAAGTGAACAATAAAATTATTATTATTATTATTTATTTTATTTTTTTTTGCCCTGTCAGGCTAAAAGATCCCGAGTTGCAGGGAACCGGGCCCAGCGTCCTAAAAGCTTGCTGCTTGGAGTTTTTACTGTTCATGGCAGAAAAGGGAAATGCAGAGATGGTGGAAAGCAGGTCCAACGTCCTCTCTCTCTCTCTCTCTCTCTCTCTCTCAAGATTTTGTAGAGTTTGGTCGGCGAAGCTGACCAATGTTGATTAGATCAGCATTGCGGTCCAACTTGGGTTCAAAGTTGTAGAGTAGATTAGCATGGCCCCTGCGAAAGGATGACGTGCATAAATCAAGAAGGGAAGAAGGAAAAAATTGATTTCATTAATAAAAGATCTGCAATGAAACAAACTTTTATTCGATGTCCTTGGGCACATCTGTAAAAATCGAAACGATATAGAGTAGATTAACAAAAAGAAATCATCCCCAAAAAGAAAGAACACACACAACATGTCAACGTGGGAGTCAACGGGATTACTGCTATGTGCCACGTCTAAGAAACAATTTTGAAAAGAACACACGCATACAACATATAGACGTGGCAGTCATTGATCGTCGGCACGCGGTATGGGAAAAAATCAAGCCACTGAACATGCCGACATGGCAGTTAGCACCCACGCGTATCCAAATGAACTTTTTTTCTCTCTCTCTCTCTCTCTCTCTCTCTCTCTCTCTCTCTCTCTCTCTCTCTCTCTCTCTCTCTCTCTCTCTCGCTCGCTCGCTCTCTCGCTCTCTCTTTCTTTTAATCATGTTCTCCGTTGATTCTCTCTCCTCCATCACCCTTCCATCTTAGCTCCCTTTGCCTTTATCGTAGTTGTGACTTCCTATTTGCTAAGCGACCCGTGTTGTTCTCTCTCTATCCTTGTGGGTCTCCTCCCTCCTTCTCCTTTATCTTCCTCCTTCTACCTCCATCATTCTCAGCCCTCCATCTATCCTCGTTGTCCTATGTCCGCGCCTTTTTTTTTTTTTTTTTTTTGCATGCCCTGCCCTTGGTGCCGCCTCTCTAATTCATCTTCGTCACTAGTTCTTCAATGCTCCCCACGTCTGCGGGTCCTCTTTGCTAAGCGGCTCATCCTGTTCTCCCACTATCTTCCTTCTCTTACTGCTTCGTTGTTCCTTGTCCATTTGTCATCTTCGTCCCCTCCCCGCGCTTTCGGCCCCACTCCATGATCGTTCCTTGTCCATCTATTATCGTCATCCCCTCATTGCGTTTTTTGTTTCCCTTTCTGTTTTTTTGTACGGCCCATTGATCCTCCATCAGCCTTTCACGCCGACCTTTTCTCCCTCTATCCTCCTTCCTCTTCCTGCTTTGTCCTTCCTCCATCGTCGTTCGTTCTTCATTTATCCTCGTCGTCCCCTCCTCGTGCTTTCTTTCCCTTCTTTTTTTTTGCATGTCACGTCGTCTCTTATGTCGACCTCTCCCTCTCGTTGATCGACTCTTCCCTTTCGTCGTCCATTCAACAAATCAAGATCCCTGCGAAAGACAATCAAAAGTGGAATTAGGGAGAATCGAGAGAGAGAAAGAGAGCAAGAGACAGAAAGAGAGAGAGATAAAAATGAGTACCTCATTCCGCCATGGTTGCGCCAAGGTCGACATTGTGCTCGTCAGTTACCTGCCTCTCCACACGAGAGCACCCCGCAGACCTGATCCATGTGGTCACTGCCAATCCCTTCACCCCCGCTCGGCTCTCCGTCGTAGAACAACATAGCATCGCCTTCATCCCCGTTGAACTCTCCCTGGCAACCGGACGTGATATCTAAATCTTTCTAGCCCCGCAGAAAAGACAAAAAATATGGCGGTGTATCTTTCCATGTTATAACGGATAATTCGGTTTCATTTTGTTCGGTGAACTTTAAGTCTAAACATGCAGAAAACACAAAAAATATGGCAGTGTTTCTTTTCATGTTTTAATGGACGATTCAGTTTCATTTTTCACATTCAGTGAGCAGTGTAGCGAGGCCTGTTGAGCGCGACATCTTTCCATGTACGGCGGTGGTCCAGACCACACGGCGGGCCTCCCGTATTCGTGCCGATTCGCCCGTGACATTGTGTATGAAACTCCACGCCCAGTTGCTCCTGGTTCGGGAGGAGCGTCTTAACTTCATCAACGTGGCAAGCCTTGTACGCGAGAGGCACGGTGAAGGGGGAGTTAAAAGAAGAATGAGAAAAATGAATGGTTTCAATTTACCCCTCACGTTGGTCTTGTTTTTTTTATTTTTACCATTTGTTTCGCAAAGTGAGCTATTTTAGTTCATAGTTATGTGACTCATTGAGATTTGATTGGGCTTGATGTAATACCGCAACACGTGTTGTACCACGTTGTCGAGTGTATCGGCCCCGCACTACTCAAGGGTAGCGTGGGACCCTCCCGGTCGCATCACGCAGGAGTTAGATCCTAATCCTCGTCGCGATACATATATGGAGCTTCCGCAAACTGCTCCGGCCGAGTGCGCCAGGCATACCTCTCGCAAGCCCCTACGACAGGATAGGGCCTACGCGAGACACGACTTACCTCCACCTTACGGGAGCTGTCACCTCCCTTCGGTGGGCGTATCCCCGCCGAGCTACCAGTCCACAATACGAAAGTTGATCAGATGCAATCGCAGAGGTGGACCAGTCGAGGGTGTTTCTCGTTCGCTGTAGCATAGGGGGTACACGAGGTACTACGCCTCTATCAGACCCGCACGCGAACCGACATTTTTGGGGGCTGAGGTCCCAAGCACGACTCGTTGTCGGTCGACTAGGACGCATCCCACATGCCACGTGCACTCCACTATAAGGAATATAAAAATAAAACACACACACAACATACACACGAAACGACACAACACAACCAACACAACAACGCTCCTAGTCCCTTGGTAGCCATCCCATAACTTTCCGATGCGGAATCGGATAGACGTTTGCGCGCGAGACTTAGTATAAAATCTCGCGGTCGCAGGGTCTGCTCATATCGACTCGCAATGCAAGCGTACGCAAGCAGTCGCAATGATGGCGTACTACGTAGTGCCCATGACCAAGCGGTCCCTCGTGGATCCGAGTACCACTTATGACACTCAAGTGTCAGACTCGAAGTATCGTGAGGGTCTACTCCCTCACGATATTGCACGGCTGAAGGAATAGCCGTGCGGCCGCCGCGAGACCTCGGGCCTTCGGCTTGAGTGTCTCGGCAGGTAAGGCAAATAGGCTCTGCGCGGGGGGAAATTCCTTCCATGCAGAGCCTAGGGCTTGGGATGTCTTGAACAAGGACCTTGAATCCCGGCCCAGGACTAACGTCCGACTGGGAATTTATTAAGAAGCATACAATCAGAGGGAGGGGTTTTACCCTCTCCTTTCTTAACCCCAACCCCTACTTTTACCCTTAATACGCTGGCCCCTTGGGCCATGCGAACTTCCAACATAGGTACGCACACACACACACACACACATATATATATATATATATATATATATACAAGGGGGGGTAAGTATGTGACGATCACTTCTCACAATCACAGTGGGACTCCTCACAACCATATGTATATGTGTGATCGCAGGCAGTCAAATCCAAAATCCGAACCACAAAACATGTCTGCAATCACATCAAAGAATCAAACAAGGTCCACACACTACACCGAGTCAACCCCAACCACTCTCCATGCTCATACCCCTCGCTTTAGCCATGCAAGCCCCTGCCTCCTGTCCAACCAACCATAATTAAATACTCAGTACCTTTGTTAAATGGCCATTCAATAAAAGTCCGGGTGAAACCTTAATAAAACAATAAAAATCACCAGGGCTAAAGTTTTTTTAGGTTGAGTATTGAGGGTAAATTGGAATTGAGTCGTAAACCGACGAATCGACAACCGACCTGTTATTAGTGATAACAGAAGGTGATCATCGTGGGATCAAACTTGAATCTAGCCCAAATTCCTGAATCGACTTGTTCAAGAAGACCTGTAATACAAGACAGGTCAATCCCCAAGTTAAGTCTATAAGTTCATGAAGAATAACCTTCATATCGCGACCTCACCCAAATCACCCTAAATAATTAGGCATAAACCTACCTATAATCAGGTGTCAAAGCAAAGGTAGACCCTGACATAACCTCCCCTACACGGAGTGAATCTCTCAGAATTGTCACCTGTCAAATATAATCTAACTCCTCTAAACTCCAAAAAATTTTGGCAGCGCTTCTCGTAGGAAAAGTGTCATCGCAGAATTTATACTGGCCCAAAAATCAAACTTTTGGATTCTAGAAAATCAAAATTTGTCTAACTCCCTGATTTAGTAAAAATTTGGGCAGCACTTCCTTTAGAAGGGAAGACTTTCCAGATTTATAAAAAGTCAGATATGAACTCAAACGTAAAGTCTGAGTTCTATTAAGACAGAATTTTAACCAACTCCTTAGATTTGTAGAAATTTCGGCAGCGTTTCCCGTAGAGAAAGTGTTATTCCAAGATTTATACAAAGCTAAGTTTAGAATATGAAATGACTTTGACCCTTCAAGGCCCAATTTTGTCTAACTCCCTGAATTAGTAAAAATTTGGGCAGCACTTCCTTTAGAGAAGAAGACTTCCCAGATTCTTACTAAGTCAAAAGCCAACAAGACCGGATCCTGAAGAAGACAAAGTTTTGACTAACTCCTTGATTTTAAAAAAATTTCGGCAGCGCTTCCCGTAGAGAAAGTGGCTTACCAAGACTTATAAAAGACCAAGTATAAATAAAAGATTCCAGAAAATGCAGAAATTGATCTAAGTAAAAAAACTCAACTCAAAAAATGCAGGAATTGAAACTAACTCTTATGGCTCTAACACGTGGCGGACAACTAAAGCAACTACCTATCAACTGAAACTCGGACTAAGTAGTGGCATCAGTCAGTCACATGCAGGTCAAACCACAAAGGTAAGTGCTCTCACCACCCCCAAGTCAATTTAGCAAACAATAGTTCATAGTTTTTCAATGATTTATCCCCTTATACCCAACTTATATAGGGTATAAAACTAGACCACCCAAGCTTATGGAACATGTCTAACCCAGCCATGAAGTATACACAAACATAGAGCACAACAATTTTTCTCGTCTTTGGGCATATGGCTAGGCCACCCTAGCCGCCCTGAACTGTTTAAGTATCCAAAATTTATATAATTGTCTGCACTTAGTCTGTTGAGGTAGCATATAACTGAGCCAATCATCTTCAGCTCAAGACTCGGCATGCCCTTCGTACCACAAGTTTATTCTTAATTAGTACTCTTTGCGGTTGGTGATAAGCTATAGTCAGACCACCCAAACTTATGGAACCCTGTCTGACTAGCCTGTTCATAGGTAATATAATAATAGAGTATAACAAAGTTATAACCTTCCGATTTCAGCATGTGCGAGGCGCTGGACCAAGACCACCCAAACTTAGGAACATGTCTTGGTCCTCAGCCTTGTTCATTTCTTCCCAAAAACCAAAGCAGGAAGAGGTTGAGTCACCCAAACTTATGGAACATGCTCAGACCTCCTCGTTCAGGAACTAAAGAAACTAGCAAAAGCTCAAAGTAAACAAGGCGACCAAGCCACCCAAACTTATGGAACATGCTTGGCCCCTGAAAAGTCAACCACAGTCAGCCCTCACAAGTCGGAGCAACCAGACCACCCAAACTTATGGAACATGTCTGGTTCTGCAGTCAATTCAAAATAAACATAGCACTGGGCCTTCCCAAACTTATGGAACTGGCCCAGCCTTTGGTTGACCCAGTCAAACTCATGCAATACAGCCTTTCTCCCACCCTTCCCCCAGACGCAACCCCACATTCTGCTTTCAATCAGGCAAAGAAGTTGAAACTGACATTATGCATGTGTTCCCTCAGTCTGGTTATGTCCTGAAGAGAAAGAAAAAATCATAGGGACAGGCATGCACACATCAATCAAACTACAGGGGGATATGCAAACATGGGTGTAGTGGGTTATACAGATAGACATGGATTACCTGATGGTTCCCTGCCTCCAGAACCTCGCCTAGGTTCTGGAAGAGCTCCCGCAATCGGTGGGCTGACTCCCCACAGAGTCTTGTTGCGGTCCTACGGGTTGCAATCCCCCCTGCCGCCTTCCTCTCAAAACAGGATTAGACTTAGAGTAAGAAAGGTAGAATATAGGGGTTTTCGACTCTTGAGATACAAGAAGGGGACAACTCAACTCTCAGGAGAGGGCCTTGATACCTTCATGCTCCTGAGGGCCCCGCAATGACAGCCACTATGACAGCTTGGTCCTCTTCTGAACTTGATTGTCGAAATCAATCTTCTGACGATCTCCCAAATCGCAGCACTAACCCCTTACTTTTCTTGCCTGACCACCTCCCCTAGTCTCAACACCTCTCCTCAGCCCAACCGCGGCCGTACGGCAGTCGGTAACAACCTTTAGATGCAGCAGCAATACTCAGCGGCAGTCAATAGTAACAACCGTAGTCACCAGTTGCACCAATAGTCACCAGCCGCAACAACAATCAATAGTAGGCAGCAATTCGTGCATGGCACACAGCAGCGGGCAATCAGCAGTACGTGCACTTGCCCGCAGCAACCAGTAACCGCAGTCTGTATGCAGCAGCAGTCAATGGCAACAGTAGTAGTCCTTGCCCAATCCGCAGCAGCAGCACACAGCGGCGGCCAGCAGCAGCCAGCAGCAGCTTCCCACAGTCTGTAGCAGCCTTTCCATGCACAGCTAACAGAAACAGCGGTCGGGCATAGTCAGTAACGCAACCGTAGTTTCTGCGCAATTTAACAGATGCAACTGCAGTTTATGTGCAGCCAGATAGTGGCCAGCAGCTGTACACAGTGGTCCGCAGTAGTGGGCAACAGTGTGCAGTAGCATACAGCGACCTACTCACGACAATCCGTCATAGCTAGCAAGCAAGTCCCCAGTCCTTGTGGATGGCTCCCCGTTTCTTCACTTAATACGCCCTATCAGCACATCGACCGGCCCGTAAATCTCTATCTCTACAGCCAGCCTCACACTATCTCGTTTTTGCGGCGAACCTCGCTCCGACCCAGCGGATGAATGGCCCTGAAGCGACGCACAGGGCACCGGGAGCAAGGCAACCAGCCTATAGGTATGTCGTTAATTCCTACAACTGGTCCTCCCTTCTTCACCTCCGTTGTGGAGCGACAACGTGGTCCGACCGATCGTGCAAGTGGTCAAGTGCACTCAGAACCTAGTCATGTAGTCTTCCATGAACCCCGTTTTTCCGTCTGTAATTACTTCATCCTGTTGTATAGACTGCGCCCAGGTCAATGGGTAGGTCCGTACCCTCAAGCTGGCAATGCCCCGCCCGAATGAGCAGCCAGTCAGCTAGTAGGTAAGCCTTCAACTTCTCACCGCTGAGGGGTAACACTCAGGCCTTCAGGTAAGTAACCACCCCACGACCATCTCCCCCGGCAGAGCACGAGAACTCAGAGTGAGTCTCCCGCTGGTACATGGTTTCATGGGGCACGAGGCAAACGCTTCAACCTCGTTGTCTCGCTTTCTACCGTGCTCATCCGTCATGCAGCAAGAAAGGGCTCCCCTCGCCCTCGTTTGCCACTCAGAGGTCAGGGTGCGGGCTAGTCATCCCGCTACTCAGGCCAGATTCATTGTCCGCTGGCTACGACCAGCCTGGTGAGCAGGCGAATTGGCGCCTGACCCAATGGAGGAGTCTCGATCAAAGACTTCAGCCGCACGAACGAACCATGTGAACAAGGTTGACAACCACTACTTAGGAATCGAAGGTAATGAGTACGATGATCGTTGAAGAATACAAAGCAGGAAATAGGACACTGAATGAATCTACTCCAAAAACACGGAAAAAGTCATCGCCATGTTCGTCCCAAAATGTCGCTTCGCCATTCCCCGGGCGCACCCCGTTTTTCTACTAACGCCTTCCATACCAATTCTCCACTCAAACTGCCATCATAGTCGAGTTCGCCCGCCCTTAAAACCCCCATCTAAACTCCTCCCTCGCCTGACTCTAACAAGAGTCGCGTGAGTTATCCTTTTCCCACTGCGCCCCGATCATCTCCCCGCCATCTCCCAACACACCCAACTTCTCACTAACCTCCTATCTTACTAACCCAATCAGCCAACTGACTTCACCAACCGATCATCTCCCCGCCATCTCCCAACGCACCCAACTTTTCACTAACCTCCTATCTTACTAACCCAATCAGCCAACTGACTTCACCAAACGCTTCGCCATGGTCGAAACCTCCCCCGGTCAACTCTCTCCTTGCCCCACTTCCATCT